GATGAGAGGGAACAATGGTCGGATAAAGTGAGGCATGAAAAAAAGACCAAAAGCTCCAGAGAGTACAGCCAGTAGATGGGAACAGTGGAGACTGACCGTAGGTGCTCTGGAGGGGCAGGGGAATGGGGACTGAAGAAGGAGAGGCATCCATCGATGGCTGCAGGGACCATATCAGGATCTCCTCTTCTCTTCCCTTCTTTCTCTTTCTCTCTTTCTCTTTCTCTTTCTCTTTCTCTTTCTCTTTGTCTTTGTCTTTCTCTTCTCTTCTCTCTTTCCTTCCCTTCCCTTCCCTCCTCTCTTCCCCTCTCCGGTCCTCTCCTCTCCTCTCCCCCCTCCCCCCTCCCCTCTCTTCTCCTCTCCTCTTCCCCTTCTCCTTCCTCTTCCCCTTCTCCTTCCCCTTTTCCTTCCCCTTCCCCTTCTCCTTCCCCTTCCTCTTCCCTCCTCTCCACCTCTCTCCCTCCCTTCAATTGAATTCAGGGGCCTTTGCATTGAGCTATATCCCCAGCCCTTTTTAGTTTTTATTTTGAGACAGGGTCTTGCTAAGTTGCTAATTGCCCAACCTGGGCTTCAACTTGCAGTCTTCCTCCTTGGCCTCCCAAGGTGCTGGGATTACTGACATGTCACCATGCCTGGCTAGGAAGGATTTCAATGTTGCAAGCTAGGACGCCTAGGCCGTAGCCCAAAGGTAATGGAGAACCTAGGCCAGAGGACTGTGAGGGACTGGCTGGTTTCTGATCGGAGGGCTGCTCTGGCAACAGTGGTAGGGATGAGCCACATGGTGATGCCAATGAACACTAGCAAAGAGGCTACTCGAAACTCTAGGAGATAAACAACCAGGGTGGCACATAATGGGGAGGGACAGATGCATGAGTTACATAGGAGACAGACTAAATGGGGCACGGTGATTAACCCCACGTGGAAGAAGAGGGAGAGGCGGGAAGAAAGGGTAGCTCTAGGGCACTGATTTGAGCAACTGCTGTAGGATAACCATGTTTCTTAGGTAAGGGAAGACAAGAAGAGGTGCAGGCTTGGGGGAGATTACAGCATATCTAGGAAGAAATTTTCAAATAGGATATACATCTAGCTTATTTGTGATGTGCAAACCATACAGGACCATTTGAATAAGTTCTACTTCCTGTTTGTGAGAGCAAGGGACCTACATATGCTGTCCTGGCAGTACTCATTGTTGCTACCACTCTTTTCCTTGGACCAAGTTCACTTATGGATATGGACGGCTGTCACAGCAGGCAGAGAGAGGGTGAGACCAACAGACAGGGCTTCAAGAACGGGGACCAGTGATTGACACAGACATTTCCCCATGCAGAGCCAGTAGAAGGCAGCAATGCGGCCGTGAGGGGAGGACCCATGAGGTAGATACTTGTGGAATCAGGCTCCCCAAGGTAGAAGGAAAAAAAACAGATCAGTTTTCTAAAATAGTTCCATGTGGCCAACGAGCCACGGAGGAGCCGGGGATGATGCACCACAAGAGGCAGGCTTATACTCAGAGGTTGACGAGTGAGTATAGGAAGGCAGGCAATGGGACCTGGGAGCTGCCACAGGGATGCTGGGAAAGGATGGCCTCTGTCTAGAGGGCTCACTGCGATTGAAGCTGCTCAGGTCTTCCAATGCAGAATCCAGAAGCAGCAGCCCTGTGTGGGAATCAGGGAAGCAGTCCGTGGGAAGGAGGGAACATGAGCTGGCCCAGTGAATCATGCAGAGATCCTCTGGATAACATTCAGCCTGAGAAAACTGGCCTTCTGAAGTCTGACCTGTCAAGCCAGAATGTGAAAGAAGGGTTGGAGGGTGGAGGGATAAGTAAGAGGGGCCCATAAGACGTTAGGCAGCTTATCATATGTATCTATGGAATGACAGAAAGGCTGGGCTCCAGATGTCTGAAATACTTGGATTTGCCACTTGCAGGCCCTTAAGAGGACACTGACATGAGCAGAGAGGGTCTTCTGACATTATGTGGCTACTCTTCTCTCCCACCTCAAATGCCTTCCCTTACTATTAAGTGCTGCAAGATCAAATAACTATAGATCTTGGAATACATCATGCTGTTTCATGATCAACAAATACTGTTTGTCTTCTTAGAAATACGCTTCTACTGCTTTGCCTACCTGGATAACTCTCATCCTTCAAAATGAAGTTAGGATATCACTTAGTCTAATCCTCACAACATCACGACTCGTAATACACTGTTTGCAACTGGTCGAACATGGAGGTCACTTACCTCATGCTTGGAACACAGTCTCCTTGGCACAGATAAGAGTGAATGATATATCCTAATGTGAGGCTGGTTCCCAGACCCTGGGGTCTGGCTGGGGTGTGGACATAGTAATGCATTTCTCTACTGGTTTGTTTCTAGAGCCTTAGCAGTACTGCTTCACTTAGGGGAATTTTTAACAGTAGAGGTTTCCAGGAGTTTGATGCTGGCACCAGCAATGGAGTGACCTCCCAGCCTCCCTGGATTCCTGCAGCCCCCCAGCCACACCAAAACTCAGCTCTGCAAGATGAGGGAGACAAAAAGTGAGAGATGCTTCTGGAAATGCCAACCACACATCCTTTTCCACCCACCCAGGGAGCTGGCCTTTCAGAGCAGGACCTGAGACCATGAGGTGACTGCTGCTGAAGGCTGTGGAGTCTCAGACTGGGAGGAGGGACCTGCAGAGGAACGATGGAGGTGGGAAGATTCACAAATCATGTGTTGGATGGGAATTTTTCTGGAGGGATAATCCATACCACTCAGCAGATTTGCAAAGTGGTCCAGGATTATCCATAAGAGACACCACTCCAGCACTATGCATTACTCGACATAGCTGTGCTCTCAGAAGCAGCTGCTGACTCTCCATCCCAGGGGATCTGACAATGGGCAATGCAGATCAGGGACAGGAGTCAGGGTCCACAGTTCTGCATTTGTACACTCACACATTAGAGGGGAAAAGCTTTTCTGAAGGTAGTATGCTTTGCACAATTTAAAATGTTCTATGATGTGTGTTTTGCACAATATCAAATGCGATGAGTGAGACAGTTTGCCTTGGGACACCTCTACACCATTCCTTAGAAAAACAAACCTGACCAAAAAAAAAAAAAAAAAAAAAAGTAAAGCAGGTCTCCAGGGTCTCATTCCTGTGAAGTCCTATTTGACCTTGTTCTTTCAGTACTGGGCTCAGAGAACACTAATAATAGGCAAATCTTGAACAATGGTTCTTACATCTGACCCTCCTCCCTTTTCTGGCATAGAAGCATGTGGCATTAGGAGATGGCAGAAAAAGGCTTTCAGTCTTAGAGAGGAAAGAATGCACACACACACACACACACACAAACACACACGGTGGGGGGAGAGAATCTAAAATCTGAGAGACTTGGACTGAACCCTGGGGAATTAAAGAGTCACTTTTTACCCACATCCTGCAAGAGTAGAAAAAACACAGGAAAAAGGTTTCTACTAAAATGTGTGTGTTTTGCCTTTTATTTTTAAAAGAAAAGCATAAATCACCCAGATATCTGAATAGCTCTGCTGGGTAGTTTTTTATTTGCTTAGTTCCCACTGTTCCTCTCCGAGTTCTGAAAAGATAACTAAAAAACAAATCTTTGGAGTGATTCCTTAAATCTCAGTTGTTCAGGGCACATGCTTTGTAGCCAAACAGATGTGGGCTCTGTCACTGGCTTGCTAAGTAATGCTGAACAAGTTTCTTAACTGCTTTTAAGAACCTAATTCTTCAGCAGTTAAAGTAGGAGCATGAACAGTACTGACCTCAAAGTGGGCTGGAAGATGAAAAGAAATGATGCAGTAGAAAGACCTGCCTAGCATACTGCAGGCATTCAATAAATGGCAGCTAAAGAATGGGGCCTGTGGAAGAACCAACTACTCTATCAATGAGGAAGACAATTTCAAGGACACATTTTTGTTTGTTATCCTACTTGCTATCACAGGTGGAAAGGAAAAACCCAGAAACTGTAGGACTGTGGTTCTCAGTGGGGATCCCCTTCTTTGCACATTGGACAGGTGGGTAGACAGCCTACTCACCTTCATGCTAGCTTGGCCCTGGCAGAGAAGTGATCCCACCTCCCAGCAATGACTTGGCTCATCTGTCCAGGCCCACGGGAGGCCACAGCTGGTGGGTCCCACTGCTCCTCCAGAAAGCCTTGGCTAGACACAAGCCCATACCTGTACTAACATTATGCTCAATTTAACTGAATGGCTTAGACATTCTCCTAGGTTTATCTGTGCCAGAAAATGACATTTCTGAGGGTTTTTTAATTAAGTGCATCATCTTCCTTCAGAAGCTCCTAAGGCTGCATTTTTTATCTTTTTTCCAAAAGGAATTTTACCTGTTTTCACCATCTCAAAAAAATGTTTCAGCGTTATTTAAAAAAAAAAAAAAAGGATTAGAGGCCTGGGGAGTTCCCCCTTACTTCTGAGTGGTTACTCTAAGTTTGCATGGGATGGTCTTTGCTCTAACTGGTAACCTCCTTCCTGATTGCTTCTGTTCAGACCACTCAAATTAATTTCAGCAAATGTTCTATGCATTTCATGGTTCTGCATCACATTAGATCTCTGGAGAGCCATTTATTAATCCTACTAAGTACATTTTCTCCTAATTTGTCTCCTCAATTGTAATCTTACTTTGTTTAAGATTTGTATATGGCTTTTCTTGCTAGTCTCTGCATTAAACTAAATTTTATTTCCTTCTAGTTAAACTACCTCCCCTACAGGGGAGGAAGAAAAGAAAAAGAAATAGCTTTCTTGGTTAATTTTATTAAAGAAAGCTGATTGTATGAAAATCAACAAAGAGGTAAGTTAGGAGACTCTAGATAATTCCTTTATCATCCACCATTTCCTTCGGTATCCGGGAAGCATGGATATTGGGAAAGATGGGATTCTACATGTTCAATTTGAACACATCTAATTTCTATGCTTTTGATAAGTGGTAGCCAAAGGTTACATGAGCTCTGATGACTTTTCAAAGGAAATTACAGCGAGGATACTTCCTTACCCGGCAGTCTCTCTGGAGTGTTTTCATGAGCGCGTTGTATGTTTCTGTATCAAAATACAACCCTTCGTGCATGTCTTGGAGGAAATCTAAATCCTTAAACGTGGGGTTGGATTTCTCCCTCTCCTTTCGGGATGCTCTTCGTTTATAGGTGGAGCCTTTCAAGTCATAAGTGAAGTGCATTCGCATGGAGCGCGGCAGGACGTTGTTCATCACCACAATCCTGATGTTGATGCCCCCTGACTGCATGCAGTACAGGCCATAAAATTTTGGCAAAAGAGTCCTGGGATTCTGGTTTAAATTCTAGAAACCAAAAAGAAAAAAAAAAAAAAAAAGGAAAAAGAAATTTATAACTTCTTACTTTACAAAATAATGCTCTGCTAAGATACGTTTTCATGCTAAAATGATACTACAATGGGATGCAATTATCTTTTTTAAAGTCCATTGATAAAATTATGCTGCTTCTAATTTATTTCTTGAGTCTGCCTATTGGAATAGCCATTCTACCATTTTAAACTCAGTAGTAAAAGCAGCTGAGTTGAATATGGACATAATGTCTCAAGTTAGCTCCAACTAAATACAAGCAAAAAATGAGTGGGTGCTATGAGTGATTGTCCTCTAAGACAGCTAAAAAGAAAAAGGATTACTTGCTGGGGTATAAGGGATAAACACTTAATATTTTAATAGAGCCTGCAAAACTCTTTTCCTAAATGGAGAGACCAAATTACAATCACATGGTTTAAGATTATACATACTCCACCACTCTCACCAGTTCTGAATACTATCCAACTTTAACATATTTATAAGCATGATTTGTGAAGATTAGCAACTTGTTTCAAAATGGAATATCATCAGTTATTATAGAAATTTAGTATTTTTGATGTATTTTCAGCCACCTCAGTGATAATTTTGTGCTACTACATTTTGATCATTTTTCTGTGGGTCTTTGTCACTGTTGGAACACTTGATATTCTCTGAATTTTTGTAATTTTCCTCTTCTATATGGAATAAATGTTTTCCTGTGTTATCTTTTTTATTATTATAAAAAGGGAGACTCTATACCTATTTTTGATACACTTTAAAGATAGATAAGAAATTGAAATAATTTACTAAAGGGCATACATTGAAGTCTCCCTGGTGATCCTGATTCCCCTTCCAAATCCCAACATTTGAGGAAATCACTACTTTCACTATCTTTATACCATCCAGAATATTCTAGGTATGTATTTTGTGACTATCATTTTTGCTAAAGGAATGTTTTTCTAGCTGATGTAGTAAGTTTTATCTATTGGTTTCTTGTGCTTCCCTAGCTTTTTGTTGGGCCGAGTTTTTTATATCCTAAAGTTACAAATTTGTATTTCCTTTCAAATTTTTAATAGTTTAGATCATTACGATTGGTTTCACTTCAGACAGAATAAATTTTGAGTGTGTGTAAACGATCTGACATGGGGAATATACACTTTTACCCAAGTGTATAGCCATTTATTCAATAGTCTGAACTTTCCCAGTTGAATTTAAGTACCACCTATGCCAATTTAGTACATAGTAAAATATACAAGGATCTGTTTCTGGACACCTCATTTGAATACATTGGTCCATTTATATAGAAGTGTAGTTACATTACATCTTTAACATTAGTCACATCCTAGTGGATTTTTGATATATGTTGTGGCATGTCCATCAGTGTGATTATGTCCATTTTTATACCCTTTCCATTCTATTTGTAAAACGTTTCTTAAAGTGATACTTGTATAATTTTTCTTTCAAATGAGTCAGCTTTGTAAGGTTCTGGGAAAAATCCTACTGGAATTTTTGACTGGAATTATATTATATTATATTTATTTATTTATTTATTTTGCGGGGGGGGGGGTTTCCGGTACTGGGAATTGAACTCATGACCTTGCTCTTGCCAGGCAGATGCTGTGCTGCTGAGATAAACCCCCAGCCCCTGGAATTAGATTATATTTACAAGTTGATTGTGAGGTAATACCTGACTGAGCTCAGGAAAAATATACATTTCTTCATTAATTCATATCTTTTTATGTCCTTACATAAAATTTGTAGTTTTTCATCTTGTATATTTGTTTTCACAGACTCTAGTATTTTAGAGATTTTCCTGTTATTAGAAAAATTCTCTCTGAACTGATCATTTTATGTAACATATGGTACACTTACTTTTTACCAATCAGAATTATAGTATGTCTCGATTTATTTAAAGCTTTATTTTTCTAATAACATTCATTTTAAATTGTCACATGATCTCTTTTCTCCTGTGTAATATTCAGCTCCGTATCATCTGTATAATAGAATACAATGGATTTTTGTCTAGACTTATCTTCTATCACACAAATCTGCTGAACTTATTGGCTCTAGACATTTATAGTTTAAGTTGAAGCATTGCTTATTTAAAGTTGTATCATTTATAGAAAACAGTGCTTATACTTATATCTTATTTCCATAACTTCTCAAAAAGCCATTTGCAGAATTTCTAGCAAATGTATTTTTATTTATTTCAAAGAAAAAGAAACTGTGAAACTAAAAGCACATAAACATAAAAACAAAATTCCAAAACAATATGATAGGAGGGTATCAATGGTCAACACATTGCGCATTGTTATCTTTAAATTAGTTACTGAGAGTGTGAGATATCAGCATTTGATTGTCCAGACAACATTAGCATAAACCTGTCTTTTCAGTGAACTGAGAGAAATTAGCAGCATACCTATCTTAGCTATTTTTTATATTTTAGCAAATGTGTGAGGAAGGACTACCGGGAGAACATCCTCATCTTTTCCTTGCATTTTAGGGAATGGCTCCTGTTTTTCTCTAAGAGATTTTATGTGAAACCTTAGACATTGATAAATGTATGATATGTGTATTCATTAATTTGCTTATTATGTTAAAAATTTTGCTGCCCATTTAAAGAATTTAATTAAAAGGAAGCATTAGGGGCTGGGGATTTAGCTCAGCGGCAAAGCGCCTGCCTGGCAAGCGCAAGGTCGTGAGTTCGGTTCCCTGTACCGGAGAAAAACCAAAAAAAAAAAAAAAAAACCAAAAAAAAAAAAAAAAAGGAAGCATTACATTTTGAGGGCCTAGGTGTCTTCTGAACTTCTGTTTGGTTAATCACATGATGTTCACATTTTTTCTTTGTGGGATGAATTATACTGCTCATTATACCAGCTTACACGATTGAGATAAAACCACTTGTTCAGCTACATTTTAAATTTTTATTGAATTTTAATTAAATTGCAACAGCCATGTAGAGTTAATGGCTATTATATTAAGTGATCTATTTCCAAAATAAAGGAATTTATATCCAAGCTTCAGATTTACTCATTTAGTAGGTTATTAAAGGGTGTGGTCAGTGAGAGCTCTTAAACTATTTTAAAACGTGCGAATGTACAAGATACCTCTGAAAGCATACACACGGGATATCAGTGATACCTATCTCTAAGAAAGAAATTATAGTTGGTTGCAGTACTTTTTATTCTCCATTTTCTCTAAAAATAGAAAATACTTGTTCAGGACCAAAATCTTTCAAAACCTGCCTGCTGTCCACTAAGACTTTTGTTTAGGTTTTCAATTTCTAGAATTCCAAAGGACATTAAGTCACAGTATTTAATACTATTTCTAGGAGATTTTGGAATTGAATAATATTTTTACAGACAAATAAGCTAAGTGGTATCTCATTGATTTTGTTTTTTACTTTGATTGATTGATTGAGACAGTGTGTCACTCTGTAGTCCAGGCGGGCCTTGAAATCTCTATGCAGCTCTGGCTGGCCTTGCATTTATAATCCTCCTGCCTCAGCCTCATGAGTGCTGGGATTACAGGCAGCACTACTACATCTGGTTTCAGCAATTTTGTTTGGAAATGGAGAGGGCAGTCATCACCTCTCAGAGCAAGTGAATGGCAGACCTAGGGCTTTTGAAATCCAAATGTCCTCACACAGCCATTCCAGTCATAGAAAATTAACCTCTGCTATGAAAGTACAATAAAAGCAGAGGTCTGAAAATGGTAGAAATACTTAGGAAAAGTGTTCATTCTTTTGAAAATTTAGACCAAATGTCTAGTAACTTCAGCCAGGTTAAGTTACTATTTCCCTGTCTCTAAAATATTACAAGAAAAGTAATTTTCATGTTGTCATGTTTACGCTACAGGAACCCTAAGTTCTGAAGTGTAGCAGCTAATACAGAGTAGGTGCTGGGTACAGTGTAGGGGTTAAAAGCGAAGTACCTGCTTGCGTAGTCCTAGCTGTGTGAATGACTCTACCTTGTTGCTCCATTTACCTTTGCCACATCTAAAAAATGATAACAACTATTATTACCCACGGTTGCTGTGAGGTTTTGTTTTGTTTTTTGATACTAGAAATTGAACTCAGGACCTTGCACTTGCCAGGTAGGTGCTGTGCTGCTGAGCTAGATTCCCAGTCCCTGCTGTGAGGTTTAAATGAATTAATGATGCAAAACATTTCAAGCCTTATTTAATACACAGGAAGTCAATGAATATTAACCATTCATATTATGACTATGTGCTGGGTGCAAAAAGCTTTGTGGTGCTCAGCTTTTAAAGACCGAGGGTACCAAGGTCCAGCAGCTGCATCGCTTACTCAGTCACACAGTGGGCGGCTGAGGTATTGGAACTGGGACTGGGTTATTCAACAACTCTGCTCTGCTACTTAGTTCTAGCTGACTTTTTAAAATCTGTTTAACAAATGTCTGGGCATAACCTAAAAGCAAATGAAAAAAAAACATGCCAAAGAGTCATTTAAAAAACAACACAGACAAACTCTGAAATAACTGTTGAGGAAAAGAATGAAGCCTAAAGCAGAAGCCTCAATTATCTGTAGTTCCTCACCATGTAATAGCCTGGCAGTAGCTTCTGGAGGAACTCCGCTTCTTTATGCTGAACGGTTTTGATGATAAATTCATCATCACTGGTCACAAAAAACAAGGACCCACTGGCTCCAGGGTTGGAGAGCTCTATTAGAGGTTCACTGCAGATGGAATACTAGAAGAGGAAGTGAATAAACATTTTATTTAATAATCATAATTAGTAGTAGCATTATACAGTGCTGGGGATCAAATCTACGGTGTTGCATAGGCCAGGTAAGTGCTCTACTACTGAGCCGCACCCCTAGCCCTAAGCAAACATTTAAATACACTTCACGCTGCTGGGTATGGAGGCACACACCTGTAATTCCAGTATTGGGAGGTTGAAGCAGGAGTATCATGAGGTCACAGCCAGTGTAGGCTATGCAGTGAATTCATGGCCAGCCTGATCTGATTCTATCTCAAAAAACACATGCACATAAATATGCATATACAAATGAGCATGCATGCGCATGCACGCGCGCGCGCGCACACACACACACAAACACAAACACACAGAGTATGTGATGCTTTTATAAGGAGAACAATCATGGTATTAGATGTCTTGACCTACTTGAAACAGGAAGCTTTCTCTATGAGCTTTTTTTTTTTTTTTTTTTTTGTTTTTCTCCGGTACCGGGAACCGAACTCACGACCTTACGCTTGCCAGGCAGGTGCTTTGCCGCTGAGCTAAATCCCCAGCCCCTCTATAAGCTTTAAAAGGAGGCTCCAGGTATACTAAGATGGCTCTTGGGGAGATTTCTAAAGATTTAGTTGTTCCGTTCATTTTAATTAAACATGTTTTCCTCAACCCCAGATTACATGGTAAAATCATGAAAACTCATATCTATCCAATGAGGTAATCAAAATAGTTATGGTGCGAGGTGTGGCAGTGCATGGCTATAATTTTCCAGCACTCTGGGAGGCTGAGGCAGAGGATTACAAGTTAGAGCCTCGCCTGGGCAATTTAGTGTTTCAAAAATAAAGAAACGCTGGGAATACTGTATAGCTCAGTGTGAAAGCCCTAGGTTCAATCCTCAGTACCAATAAAAAAAAGTTCATCTAAACTAAGATGCATTGCTTTTGGCAAGTGCACACAAAATCACAGTTGCCAGTGTGATCTGTACAGTGTATTCACCACTTGGACATTAACACCTACTCCCTTTTCACTTTTCTCTCAGCAGACGTTCTCTTCTCTTACAGTTTCAGCAAGAAAGTGACTCCAAAGTCTGTATCTCCAGTCCAGATCCCACTCCAGGGCTCCAGACCTGCTCATCTACCATTACAGTAGACATCTCTACTTAGCTATATGACAAATGCAGGTTCACAGTCAAATTCATTTCAGAGCCTTGATTAGATGATGTGGCATCTTTGTGGCCATGAGGACAATGTGCGTCTTTCTCCTGGCAGATGAAGCTCTGGGCCAGGATACTAGGTTGGTGGGTAGAAGAAGGGCTGCGTTCTGGTCTCCATACCTTTCCCTGAGCCGGGTGGGAGCGCATGGCCAATGCACACCTGTGCGACTATATACGGTGACTCTAGATCATCTTCCTCCAATTATCTTAGAGAACAGAAACATTATCTCCCTTGTTCCCCAAGCCAGAAACTTGGCCATCATCCCTGACTCCCTGCATGTCTCTGTCCTCCTCACCCAAACTCTTAACTGTGCCTGTTTCTTTCATCCCTTCTGTTCTCTCATACTGCAACTTCAATGGTTTTATCACTTCACACCTGGGTCCGTAGGGGTAGGCTCCTTCTCTCAAGTGTAACACTGTTCCCTCCAGGGCTCAGACACCACGGGTCTTTCTAAAACAAAAATCTAATGTCCTTTGGTGTCTTCCCAGCTTTTCCATTTTTTTTTTTTTCCTTTTTGGTACTGGGGATCAAATCCAGGGCCTTCACACTGAGCTACACCCCTGGCTCTTTTAAATATTTTTTTTGAGATGGAGTTTCAAAAAGTTGCCAAGTTGCCAAGACTGGGCTCAAACTTGTTATCCTCCTGCCTCAGTCTCCCAGAGTTCTGGGGTTAAAAGCTTGTGCCACCACACCTAGCTTTTGCATGGTCCTCGAGGAAGTGTTCAAACCACAAACGATCCAGTCCTGCTCTGTAGCCCTTTCCCTCATCAGTCCTTCCGATACTTGAGCTCTAACAAGAGAGCATGTTCTCATTTCTTAGACGTGCTTTGCACTCTTGACTCAGGTGTCTGCATTTTCCTTTGCCCAAGACAATCTCCATTCCACTACTGCTCACTCTTACATCTAACCATGTGAAAGATACTTAGTGAACATCTGCAATATCCCAGACACTCCTGAAACTTATGCCCCAGTAGAAGGAGACAGTCAGTAAGCAAGTAATTAAGTTATACATCAGAATGTGCCAGCTGCCACGGAGAAAACTCAAGCATGGTAGGAGAGACAGAGTACCAGGAATGTTAGAGACTGGGTTGCAGACATTTACAATACAGGGGAGCTGGGGAATAGCTCAGTGCCACACCTCATGCTTTGCATGTGAAAGGTTTGGGTTTCGATCCCAGCGTGGATAAATAATAAATGGATGAATGAATAAAGGATTAAACAGGGAGGTCACTGAAGCCTTGCTGCCAAGGCAGCATTTGAGAAGAGGCTAAAGAGAAAGGCCTGTAGGCCATGTGGGTTTGGGGGGGAAGGGGCATTTTAGGCAGCAAAGGAAGCAAACTGCAAGGATAAGAAACCTGGTGGGTGCAAGGCAGTGGCCAGAGTGGACGAGTAGAGCTGACAGGGATGAAATCAGAGAGGCCCAGTGGGCCAACCATGGTGGGTGCTGACGGTCACCATTGGGGCTTTGGAGGGCTTGTGAATACGTAAGTTCCCATCATACAAACATTTATATGGAGGGAGAAGAAGAGGGAGAAGAGAGGAAGGAGAGAAAAACCAGGAGAAAAATGACTAAAAGGCAGTTTCTAGGTGTCACTTTTTACATTATTTTGCTTTGGCAGCATCAGGGATGAGGGAAACAAAATTCCCCAAGAGAAAGAAGCAAGTATTATACTTTCTGGCTTCCTAAGTCACTGCTACCTCCCATCATCTGCTTCCTCTCCTTTCCACTGGCCTTGCTTCTGGACACTCTTGCTGAGCAGCAGCCACAGCCCTTATGGGTGAGTTGACGATTTGTTACGAAAACGAAAGGAGTCATCAGACTGTGGACAGGAAGCCATAAAAGCCAAGAGCAAGCAGCCATGTGTACAGAGCGTCACGTGAAAGGCTGATTAGGGGAAAGGGCATGAGATATGCAATCACCTGGCATTGGTAAAATTATAGCTCTGCCAGTTGGTCGTTATATGGCCCTCAGTGTATAACTCAGCATGGTGCAGCCTCGCTTTAAGGTAAGTGCTTTTGAAGCCTCAGGCAGAGTGAGCACTTAGTATGGTTGTTATTATTTATTACATGATCACATGCAGGGGAGAGAGGCACCCAGCCTGCCTTGCTGCACACTGTCTGGGCATCGAGGGAGGAACTGGCACCACCTGAGGAGGTGTTGAGCTTTTCACTGGCATTCACATAGGCAGAAGATTCCCCTCAAATGCACTAAGACATCCTGAGCAAAGCAAGAGAAAAGGAGGGTCTGTCATAGAATCATGAATTCAAGACCCTGGAAGATAAGTGTGGACCCCACACTCCTTAAAGGCAGACCCTGCACTATCTTTAGAAATTCTGACTCTTTGTTCCATGGCATTTAAATTTTGGGCATAGACCCTCCTATGGGTAGGAGTAGATAGTAGGAAAGTATAAAATCAACAAAGGATGCAGAAAGTAGTGGCTATATATACAGAAATTATAGGATGATCCAAGAAAAACTCTGTAGAAAAAACTAGATTCCAACCTGGACGTCTCTCCTGATCAAAGTCTCAATTTCTACCATCCACAGTGATATATAATGGAAATGATTTTACTGGTTACTTGTCAAATACTCCTTTATCATGTAATTTATAAACAACTGTCAATAGAATAACAAATAAATGGATCTGATCCATCCTGATGACCTTTTGGGGGCTAATAATAACACAACATCAACACGCAGCCAAGTGGGATTAGGACACGGATCAGGAATCTGAACATTATGCTCTAGAGTCCTACAGTTTCTCACTCCACCACTTGGATACCACGTCCTCTTCTAAGCAACCTTTAAAATGCTGCCTTTTAAGAGCAAATAAAGAGCAGAGATGGGAACATTTTAATTAGCCACAACAACAAGCTCCCATGTGTGCGCCTGGGTTTTATGCACCTTCCAGGCACTTTTCATCGGTGCAAGCTGCTCAAATGTATTCATTTTCTCGCTTCTATTTCCTGCAAGGCCTTCCTGCTCTACCCACTGGAAAGAAAGCAAAGTACATCCCAGCTGGGCCCTGCCAATGCAAATTAACAGTGTAAACTTGTGCCATGTGGTGGAGATAATTTTACCTGCTATTTCTTTCTCTGGTAGTATAAAATATTCACTTTGCTCTCTTTCTTCCAGGTACAATGAGCCTGAAAAGCCTCCTGTGAGTTGGATTTCTGAATATCTGGCACGAGGCAGAGAAGGAAAGAACAAGTGGCCTTTTGCCCTAGCAGAAATGGAAATGCCCTGGGGCCCTGGGCCTCAAAGAGGTGTTTGTCTAGGAACAAATAAGGAAGAAGAAGCATTTGCATTGTTTATGCGCAGAAGCACCTTTACTCTGTCTATAATCCAAATTATCCATGTTTCAACATGAAACCTGTAATCAGCAAGTGCATGGTACATTTTAATAATACTAAGAACATAAACAGAATAATTCAGGCAGAAATCTAGATGTAACAGCACAGAACTAAGTAGAAATACATACATATCACAGATATCCAGTGCCAAACCTATCTATGGAAGTTACCAATGGCTGAATAATCGTCCCAACTCTCTCCCATGGTGGATCTTCACAAATCCGGGGTTGAATAGTTCCAGTTTGACGGATGCCAGGATGTACTTAAGATTTGCACTATATCCTTTACTTCCTTACACAGAGTTTTTCAAGAGTTATCTTATTTCATTTTTCTGTGCTTTGTTTGGAATGAACTCTTCCAAAATGTGCTTTGTGAGAGGTGCTCAACCTCTGTGTTCTTTAGGAGGAACAATCCTAGTTTGATGTGTGAGGGAAAGGCCACCTGGAGACCATACCTGCGAGGCCTGTGACTTAGTGGGTGGGGAGTGAGACTCTAGCTGGTGAGAGGTTGTTATGGTTTGTGTCTGGGTGTCCCCCCAAAGCCTCATGCAGTCATGGGGCAGGCTTTTTGGGTTTGATTGATTATGGGTGTGAGAGCTACACCCACCCTGGGGTGGATAGTTTGCATATGTAAGGGAGAGGAAGAGGCTGCTTGCCGCCATTCCTCCCTTTTGTGCTTGTTGCTTTTGCTGTGTTCCGCCGCCATGAGCTGTAGCCCTCTGCCATGTGCCACTCTGCCTTGTAATCTGCCAAGTATGGACTAAAACCTCTACAAACTGTACGCGAAATAAACCTTTCCTTCCTTAATCTGGGGTGTCAGGTATTTTGTCCTAGCAATGAGAGAAAAGGAACCAAGACAGAGGTTTTCAGAGCAATGGAGGAGGATGAGGAAACTATTGCTGCGATCTGTGCTGCTCCCACCAATGCAGGCAGCCTTTCAATGAGCCTAGCCTCAGATTACATTCCTTATGGGCTAACCTCTCATGAGAATTACATCTGATTCTCCAGAGCATGTGAAACATACAAAAGACTCTTTCCTCATCTACCATAGCCCAGACAACTAAGTGGTTAACCCAGATACAGTGGTGTGGAGGTGAGCTTCCAGAAGCGCCAAGACTTACTGGGGGGACTGCCGAAGTCCTGGGTGGTGGGCAACTCCAATGTACAGGCAGGTGGCCACAGCTGTTGGAGAACCAGCAGTCATGGGTCGATGGCACCATTGCCCTTTTGTTTCTTGCTGGTCCCAGAGACCAGAGATGTAAACAGTTACCGAACTGTGTGCAAGGTGAATGAAGGAGAAAAATGGACCGAGCAAAATCACATCTACCTGCCTGGCTCTATTTCCTCCCCTCTTTTGTATTATGGAAAATTTCAAACATATATAGATGTATAATTAACATCTGAGGGTCTATTTCCAGCTTCACCAATTGTCAACTCATGATTAGTATTTTCCCTTTCATAACTCTATTACTGCCTGCTTCCCTCAGATCCTTTTCTTTTTTTTGCCTCCAATTTCATTTTTTATAACAGTGCTACTGAGCCATGTCAAAAACCATTCATTTTACCCTTTTATAGTCTAAAGTATTTTCAATTAATTTTTAATTGACAAAACTATATCCTTAGGGTGGAAAACATAGAGTTTGTATGTATACAGTGAGATGGCTAAATCTAGCTAATTAATACATCCTTTGCCACTTTGTGTGTGTGTGTGTGGTGGGAAAATGTAAGATCTATTCTTTCAGATATTTTCAAACATAACACATTGTAATTGATTATAGTCATGAAATAAAACTCTGAACTGAAATTTTGTATCCTTTGGCTAACTTCTAAAATTCTTTTGGAGTAAACTCCAGGCATCAAATAATTTTATCTATAGATATTTCAGTTTATTTTTTTAAAAGACAAAGACTCTTTTTATAATAAAACCACAATATCATTTATCCTACCAAAAAATGTTTTCAGCATCATCGAATATCTCTATAGTTTGTTAACTTCCTGTAGTTTAAGATCTAGTTACCTGAACTGCCTGGCTTTATTAACATTTGAGGTCAAATCTCTCTCCTCTAGTGAAAGTGGTCCACTTCAAGTCCTAAACAGCTAATGCACTCATATCCCTGATCTCTCAGTCCTCCCAACACCCCTACCCTCAATAGCAAAATGTCTGTCTCTTCTCTTCTAGCTAATCAGAAGCCCTGCAATTTTTAAGATACAGTTAAAATCACACCACATCCAAAGGGGACCTCTGAGTCATCATCCTCACAGAGAACGATCACCCTCTCCTCTGAAATCTGGAGCATTTGATGTTTTGCTTTAGTCTTTTTGCTTACTGCTTAGTAGATTTGGTTGTTTTTCCACATAAGCAAATTATCATTCCAACATGAGTCTAATTTCTTAGAGTATTTTGATTTATCATTTTTTAATTTCTCTGTAGTTGAACACATAGGATTCTAGACATAATAGGTATTCAAAATATTGAATAACTTTAAAATTCACATTTTGCCAGCTACAGGGAAAAGACTGTAGTTCAGAGAGCCCATTCATTAGTTTTATCTCCTGTGCTCCTGTGTAATACCCCAACTCCATAATGGAAATAATTTTTTTTTTGGTTCAAAAACGCATTCGGAAAGTTATGTCAGCTGTGTAATAAATTGTTCAGCAAAAGACCTTCCCCAAAGAAGGCAGTTTTGTGAGCTCGGATGACAGAAAGAATGAAGCTCTTAGTCTGTGGGGCAACAGACAAAGCAGACTGAGCATGAGCAATCACTTTGTCATAATGACTGGGTCAGTGCTACACAGTGTAGATCTAGGGTGGGTCTGTGGCTGGTGAGAAATTTAAGGACAATTGAGAAGGAGAATCCATTCATTCCTAGGATGTGGTACAAGATGAGAGATCAGTGCTGTTTTCCATAATATTACATCAGAACCCCGCCAGGTTTCCCCACGCATTTGCTGATATTGGTGATCCTCAGTAATGACCGAGTGGCCAGAAACCATAGAATCGTTGTTTTTCTTGAGACAGGGTCTTGCTATGTAGCTCAGGCTGGCCTTGAACTCACTATGTGGTTCAGATCAGCCTTGAAATCGTGGCACCCCTCCTACATCTGCTTCCCAAGTCCTAGGATTATAGGCATACACCACCATACCCTGCGGGGTCTCCCTGGTCACACACACACAGATCAAATGCACTTGTGAACGGATAAACAGAGGCACCTGACACTTCAGTTAAGGCAGATGGTGTGCCACAGCACAATGTGGACAGAAGTGAGGTGCAATTAACAATTACGGTGTTTTCTTAAATTAAAAAAGTACTACAGTAAAAGACACTGCCATTAATCCCCCTCAAAACATTCCCTCTTGCTTCAAACACACTTATGCTGTCATTCTTGCCACTTTCTGAAGCGGTTCTGGAAGTCTTCTTTCATTAGTGTCTTTAATTGGGTTGCTGTGGCTGCCTTGACACCCTGACTTGGTTAAAAACATTTACCTTTTATACTCATTTTGACTTTGGGGAAGAGCCAGAAGTCGTATAGTGCCAGATGTGGTGAATAAGGTGAATGAGGACAAACCACAATGCTTTTATGAGCCTGTCTTTCCATTGGATGGCACCCAGGAGCAGCACTCACCGTAGTTTTGATTACGCCTTGTAAAGACACAAGAGAGGACTTCCAGAGCTGCTTGAGAAAGTGGCAAGAATGAAGCGATAAACATGTTCGAAGCAATGGGAGTATTTTGAGGGAGATTAATGGCAATGTGTCTTTTACTGTAAATAATTTAAAAGATTTAAACACACACTATACTTTTTGATCAGCCCTTGTACACTTAAGGACAGCAGGATGAACTTCCAAGGCTGTGGAGCAACGAACATAGCAGACTGAGACCTAGCAAATCTAAGGTGTCTCTCTGTCTAGAGAAGTTCACAGATAATTGAGAAGAATCTATTAATTTCCAGGGGGTGGGACAAGGTGAGAGATCCCTGTCTGCTATGTCCATCACTCCACAGGCTGAGATGTTCATTCTTGCACTGATTCTGATCTTACAAAATTGCTCTCTTTGGGGAAGGTCCTTTTCTGAATAACTTCATACACCTGACATGAGTTTCCTAATGAGTCCTTAGGTCAGTCTACACAGTCCTCACTGTTCTACAGAGACCTACTTATTCACCTTGAGAAACCAGTATTATCTCATTGGGCAGTAATCATGATTTTCTCAGGGACCAGCTAAAGAAGAAGACTCATAGGCTTTCATCTGCATAGAATACAAATCAGCTTTGAATTTCATCATAATTATCCACTACATGTTTTAAATATTTTTTGCTATAAGTGACAAATGTTGCTATACTTTCTCTGAAAAACATTAAACTATCTGGCTAAAATCCTCTTAAAATCATTCAGAATGAGACTGACAATAAATATTTGATGACATCTTTCCTATGGTTTCTTGAATACCAATTTTGAAGAGCCCCAGGGTGTTAACAGTGATCAAGTTATAATAAACCATTTCCCTCTTGCAACAGAAAGGAATGTTGAATGTTACAACAGAAAGGAATCCGAGCTCCTTCAAAGGAATGGGGTAAAGCTCTGAGGTCACATCAGAGCTTACAAACGGGCTGTTCTGTTGTGTTTGTATCTCAGGCATGCCAGAAGGAAGATAGGGAAGAGACAGATTTGCAGATAAAAACATGTCCTTGTATCTGTAAAAATATGTTTAAAAAGAGCGTGCATCAAACCAGCCAGCTTGTTTGGAATTTTATTTGAATTTGTAGGTCAAGGTGAAAATGGCTGTGGACCAAATCAGGCCTGAGATAAATGGTATAAATAAAGTAACTAAAATAGAAAGACTTTCAAATAGAATCTAATCTGGAAAATTCACAGGAGTCATTAAAACTAATTATAATATATCTGTGAGAATAATTATTTGAAGTAGCAACCAGTATCAGTTATTTAAATATAAATTACCATTGCAGATTTTGTAACGATCAGTTGAAGTTGCAGAAGCTAAATTTATAACCATTATAAAACGTGGAACTTTTACTATGATCTTGAGCTATATAAAATAAACACAAATACTTGTCACTGTTGCTATGAGACAAATGTTTACATCACACATTTCTTTAGGAGAAAGGAAAATTACAGGTTCTTACCAAGTAATCATCAGGCTTGATACCAAAAAGTTCTCTGAAGTATCGGAATGCTAGTGGAGCATATGTCTTAAATCTGAAGTCTGGGTAGTGATGTGCTGGGGTCAGATTGCTCCCTTCGCTGCAGTTAAAATATTAAAAAGAGGCAGGAAGAAAGAACATTAGCAAAACGGTTTTAACTTCAATGCTAGCCCTGTCAGTCCTGGGATGTTTTCTTTCCTAGAAGAAACACCCTCTGCTAAGTGGATCTTTCAAGGCTCAGGTTACAAAGGTCAATCGCCACAGGTAAAATCAGATACTGTACTGACGTGGTAAGGTCGCTCCACGCAGGTGCTCCCTGCCAATCAGTGTGTTCCAGCCTGAAGATGCTTTATCTCTGTTTCTCCTTGCTGGAAAAACCATTCCACCTTCCATATGAAACCACACTGTAATGTTCTAGAAAGATCCAGGGCTAATATGTAAAGCATTTTCAAAAACGTATTTTTTTTACTATGAATTTTGATCCTGAATAAACAGTTGTAATCAGGACTATGTGAAAGAATCCTTAAAATATCCTACCAAACTGCGAGAACCATCACATTGGAGACAGGATCTTAATCTGAACTCTTCATTAGATCCAGGTCCTCCCCCTACATATTTTAGGGATTTGAACACCCAATTTCCATTTTAATGATATTGCTTTTTGTCCTTTCTTGGGTTCATTTTTGAAAAATTTTTTATAATACTTATGATATACAACAGACAGAAAAGCCTAATCAGTGATATCCATGAACCCAAATGCTGCTTAAGAAATAAACCATCATCCGTATAGTTGCATCCCTATCTGTACTTTTTACTGGTTATATCCTTAGGGACATTCACTGGTCTGAATTTTGATGTTTACTAATTTCATTCTTTTTATTCTTTAAATCTATAGAATATTATAATTTTATATGACCTTGGACAAACTGCTTACGTTACTGAGGGAAAACCTAAATAAAACCTCTGGTTCTACTTGCTTTCAGTTGATTTCAAAAGCACTAATTTGGGAGGTCACGTAGCTGAGCAATATATTAGTAATTTTGCCCACTGGTGTGGCTGTAGATGTCATCACTAAAGTCACTTAACAGGTTAAAACTGCTCTGTGAAAATTACCTTTCACAGTCTTCCTTTGTTTTCTGATGAAAGACACCTTTCATAACCTAATGATTAACTGCAGGGTCAACTACTCCTGAGAAAAGGACCTAAAAGATGTGGGTATAATACTTTATAATCAGTAACTTTTCTTTAGATATATAGAACCCAGAACATCTGGTGACCTATAAATAACTGCACCACATGGGGTCAGGAAGCAGACCACTTGAAATCTTTGACTACCCTAGAGTCTGCCTACCTGAGGTGCCTTCCCAAACACCCTATATGTATAAGCCTTGCACCTGCAATCTCTAAGCAAGGTACTCTTGACAATAACCTCCATCTTCTGTTTGGTACATTTCCAAATCTCTTTCTCTGCTCAAACAAACAACTTGTACTCGAGTCACTAGCCTTTTGAAGTGGCAACAACACACAGGGGTATGGTAACACTTAATATACTCTAATTAAAAATGTTCATTGTGAAAAATTCTAACAATGCAGTAAGATACAATTTTATGTAAAGATTCAAGATCTCTTTGTAGTACATTTCAGCTGAGATACTGAAGTTCTATGAAAATTTATCATGGCGTGCTTTTGGGAACATCACAAAAATAAGACTGCAAATACAAAGGCCTGGAGCACACAAACGCTTGGAATCTACAGTTTAAGTTTGTTGAGGTCAATCAGTTTTGGGCATCAGTGCCTGGCACACAGTGGACAGTATCTGTCGAGTGAAAGAATGAGTTTTCCGGATAATGCGAATATTGTAGAGTTGATTTTTTAAAAATTATGTTTATTGGTACAGTTTAGATATACATAAAGATCATACTCATCAGAGGGAATTTGTACTTGTGTATGATATATTTTAATTCCTCTTTTTTTCCCAATCTCCTCCCCCGCTGCAACTCTTCTTTCTCTCCCTATTTACAAAGCTTCGCTTCCATTTTATCCTTTTTAGGAAGAAAGGGAAAAGGAAAAAAATGATAAAAAGCATAGCTGATTCTTACAAGGAGATTCCGTTCACAAGTCACCATACATGGCAAAAATTCAGCATAGTAAACAAAATCACTATTGAAAATTATTTAGGAATTATCTATTTAATATAGCCAGTACAGCCAGCTCTTCTCCCTACAAGGTCCCAGGTGGCTGTCACTTTAGGTGAGGACCAGGAGATGGGGTTGGCTTGTGTTGTTAAGGACCCATCATGTAGTAAGTGCTTACCTCTCCCCAACCTCCTCTGGGAGATCAGGTCCGGGAAATCTGCTTACTAGGGGAGTGCTCTGCCAACTAAGCTTCACCTCCAGCCCTATCACATGCTTGTCTTTAAAGGTTGCATTACACAAGGGCAGTAGCAAGGGATTTACCTTGGAAGAGGGACACAAGAACGAAGGCCCACCAAGAGATAAGCAGCCTCCACCTGAGCATGGAATAGCCCCAAAGTCAGCTGTGTACTTCAGTGGTTATTCTTTTCCTCTACAGGTATAGTTAACTATTCTTAATGTGTCTGTGATGTCCTGGCAACATACCCAAACATTTTCTCAGTCTGTATTTCGGGATTTATGAAGGAAAATGCAGTCAACTGTAGGTCCCTTACGATTGTCAAAGTAGTGATTTAGGAACTCATGTGATGTGTAATACTTTGTAAGTATGAGCTATGTGGAAGTATTACAGACAGCTAAGTTAGGTAAAAATATTATAGGCACTCAGACAAGGCTAGGCCCTTGAGGAAGTCGGTGCAGAGGCTGAGAATACATTACAACTGGGTTAGAGGTGCATCTATTAAAGGCCAGGCCTCAAGATAAAGATGGAATGACCAGGCCTACATGCCTCCCTGAGGGATAAGCTATATACAAAACTGGTATCACCTGATCTAGTGAAGTCCAATAGACATTAGTCACCGAAGTAGGTGACCATCTCCTCCTTAAACTGAGCATCTCTTGATTTATCTCTTCCAAAAAAGTCCTTGTTCTTTCCATGTATACTTGCTACGTGACTTGCTTCCCCATTAGATCAACATTACCTTAGCGGCTATTGGTTGATCATACTTTTGCCCCCTGTTGTACCCACCGTGTGATTTTGCTCTATAAAACCTCCTTTGAGAAGTGGGCTCACTGGCAACCGGTTTTCAGATCCCCTCCTGCCTCTCAGGATCTATCTCTCAGTAAATGTTTCTGATTTTTAACCTCTGTTGTTCCTTAAAAGTCATTCTTCAGTTTTAGAAAACATGAACTTGGCATATCTGACATCTAACAGGTTGAGAGTTATAATATTTCCCTTGTATCGTTTAGTGTCCTATGTTAAAACCACAGAGGCCCAAAGTGACGTCTACATCCTTTCTTTCTTCTGCAAGCAAGTAAAAACAGTCCCCGCACCAGGAATTCTGAAGGAGGCTGATTTCACTGGGTAAGAGTGTTGCCAGTTTCTTACTTCTTTTGCTCTCCTTTTTGTGTTTACTTTCTCATACAATCTGAGTGACTTATTCTAGTAGAGCAGATTTCCTTCAACATTTAAAGAGGTAAGACAACTCATGTTGCACTTTTGTGTAATTCCTCCACTATGCAGTTGGGAGTCCAAGATTCTATCAGAGAGGAAATGGCATTTATTATGCCTATAAGTTATCCTACAGATAAACTACCAAAACAACCCATGGTTGTTTATTAGTAGCACTATTTATAATCACAGAGGATTGGAAGTAACCTACCTACTCTCAGAAGAGGACTATCAAGTTAATTATGATGTAGCTATAAAATAGAATATTATGCAGCTTTAAAAGGAATGAAGATGCTTATTATGTATTGATCTCTAAGACAAATTGTTACAAATTGTTAAGTGAAAGGAGCATGACGCAGAATGCTATGTACAACATGCCACCATGTGTACAAAGAAGAAAAAAATTCTTTTGGCAAGTACGTGCATAAAAATCCTTGAAGGAAAAACAAGCCATTACTAACAGTGATCATTGGAGTTGGACACTAGGTGAAAAAGGCAGAGGAATATAAGAAACACTTCTCACAGTTTGAATTTTTAGAAGCAGGAGAAATTCTACTATGTATTATTATTTATAAATTAAATAATTTTTTCAAAGTTAAGGAGGGATTGAAAGTCATAGTTTACAATCTCCTTAATAGACTCCTATGTTCAGCTTCCCCACAGGAGGTTTGCTTACCTCTGTATATTTAATTTGCTCCAATGAATAACAAATGGCTTGACAGGAAGGAAACTCAGCGAAGGAAATGCAAATGAATGCAAGCGCTGATCCTGTCTGCCAGGAGGTAAAGTACGAAAGAGCAACACTAAACAGCAAACCCAGCGACAACCAGCCAGTAGACACCACCTTGTCACGCTGAGGTTACACCTGAATGCGGGCACTGGCCCACAGACGTCAGCGCAGAATCTTCCCACCAAGTGCTTATCATGCTTGCAGCCATGGCGGAACTGCCGGGCAGTTAAATGCGATGACTGCTACGAATCCTGCTGGCTGCTCTTCTGTAAGCTGGCTGTGCTTGAGCCTGGTGTTACCTGTCAGAACCTGGGCTCAGTACCCAGACTTACTGAGCAAAAGTGAAGTCTGAAGAAAAGCAGAGTTCCTCGCAGTTTAAGATTCACCTTATGCTTCTTTAATGCATTTATGCAGTGTGTGAAAATGAATAAAGAACCGACCCTCCTATCTTGGCAAGAACAAGGCTTTGGAAATTTCAGCTGCAGGGGTGTGCACAGGGAGTCTAGACGTTTGGCTCCTGTGGGCCTGTAACATTTCAACAACAAAAATTTGCAAGCCAACCTTGGTTTTCTAGCATTAGTTTGCAAACAAGAATCTAGACAACTAAGCAAACATGTAGTAATAGCCCTATGAGGTCATAAAAGGAAGGTATTTTATTGGCAAAATAGTATAAAGGTTTGAAAAAGAACAGTGCTTTCTATATCGCATCCTTTTCCCTTTCACCAAGAAGCTGGCAAAGCTGGATCATGGACGAGCTCTGGCTTCCTGATATTTACCTTTTCTGAGGG